GGGGGGGGGGGGGAGTCGGTCCCATGGCATCGCAAGGGAGGGGGGTGGAGGCAAACACGTTGAATACAACAAATCGAAAAGAGGGGGGAGTTATACAATGTTAAAAATTTTCGGCTGAATTTTCCGTGCCAAATTTCAGAAATTTATATCGTGTTTAAGTTCCAGTGAAATTTCAGGAAATCTTGTCATTGAAAAATCAAATATTCCATTGATTTTCTGTTCAAAGGATCTGAAAATCAATAAAACACTTGATTTTTCAGTTCAATTATTCAGAAAAACCAGAAAAAATCAGGAAAATTCAGGGAAAAATTGAAAATTCGTGTCATTTTGTTTCTGAATATTCATGTTCCACTGAAAATTCAATCAATCAAATAGTAAAATTTCAGTGCCGATCAATTCGACATGGTAATACATGACAAAATTTCAACTGATTCGCCAGTGAAGAAAGATGCAGAATTTTCACGTAACTTCGATGGTGTTACAAAATTCAAACTTTTTCACTTAAATATTTCAAAAATAATTTTTTAACAGTGTGAAACCAAATGCTTGATTTTTCGCGTGGAAATAGAGCACCACGGTTTCATTGTTTTCTCGCGTTGTGCCACAGAGTGTTATATCCACCCGCAAGAAGAACTATCTAAAAGCGGGAAACAATTTATTTGAGCAGCGCTGAAAAGATCATTCAGATTAAGAATGATAACCGAGAAGCTTGCGAAAAATCGCTGGAATCAATGAGAAACTAGAAAAAACATGTCCATGCTAACATCATTTGGTACGAGTAAAAAACAATTGGTCATTGACGATCCTTTTTCATTGTCTGAACTGGCTGACTATTTACACCAGTCACCCGTCGCTGATGCAAATAGTTGTCTAAAAAGGAAACTCGAAAAATATTTTCCAATTGAGAAACTGCAAGTAACTGGACAACAAATAGTGGTAGAAACGTACGCCTAATGAATGAAACCACGACGTTATATCATGGTAATTCTGGAAATAACCGATTTTTCCCAAGTTTTTCCTCGTCATTTTTTCTTGAATGGGAGAGTCAATCGTAGCAAAGCCCACTGATAATGAGAACTATTATCCATTCTCAGATCATGTGACAAACAAACATATTTACAGGGAGCATTTACCAAATATTACATGCATATGCCGAGAGGTGCTCCTTTATCATGAACTATAACACGTGGTGATAGTCATTGTATGTTAAGATGTGAAATGTATTGTATGTCTTTTGTAACTACGACATCTTTCCATTTTTCGTACGCGCTTATGCATGATAAGGAACGTGCGTTTGCAGTTCCAACTGCAGTTGGGAAGCAAAAAGTGGACAGCTGAGATCGGTGTTGATAATTTAGAAGACAATGGAGGAAAGCGATCAATTCGACATGGTAATACATGAAAGAGTTTTCAAATGAAAACAAGTGGGAAATTGCTCTTGTATTGCATATAGTATAGTTATTTTTGCTAATAAATTTCCAATATGCTTCCGAATGGTTATTTTGCGGATAATTTCCTTCCATCATGTATAATTCATTGTTTATTTCATTTTATTGAATTGAATAAGATTTCCTTTTACCTAATTCTGTCAGATTTTCAACTTAGTTGAAGGTTATCAGCATCATTATTCTTATTGTCCCTTTTCTTCTATACAACCGATTGTCTTTTTTACACGGAGAGAAATTTTTGACAAAAATTATCCTACCGTTCTGTAAAAGTGTATCATGAGTCATCGTTTCCTCATTTCTATCCCGAAATTTAGTAAAAATTGATATGTGATGATCAAATTTTATTCTGCGTTAGAGAAATGTAGCCTGATAAAAATAAAAATTACCGTGCCGGTAGAGTAAAAATTACTGTACCGGTAGGGTAAAATTTACCAACCGTTCTAGAATTTTCGTTGTTATCTACATAAAAATTACTGGACTGAAAGGGTAAAATTTATTATGCGTCAGGATAAAATTTCTCTAACGTAGAATAAAATTTGCTCATCATATATTAATTTTTACTAAATTTTGGGATAAAAATGAGGAAACGATGACTCATGATACACTTTTTAGAACGGTAGGGTAATTTTTATCAAAAATTTCTCTCCGTGTAAAGTTCTATCTCTCCCCTCAGCGCTTCGATAAAATGTTAATGGAAAAATTTTATTTACACATACTTGAACGAATTTGAAACATCACATTTGAAGAAACCATTGGAAAGCTGACTTTCAGGGAAATTCACGAAAAATTCAAAATTCTCAACAATCATCGTAAAAATCAAATTAATCAATATAGCTTTCGTAATCATGTTTTAACTTCGACTTAATGGCATTAAAACAAGCATTTTAAGCTATGATTGAATTCATTTGAAGCATGATATTCAAACATATCCCCAGAATTCTGATTTTCAAAAAATACAAAATTTTTGAAAATTTTCGAATAAATCAAAATAATGATTATTGCTATCGCCTTCATCTTCGAACTCGGTTAAAGGGACATCCAAAAAATTTTTTTAAGCCATCATTCAATAAATTCAGAACATTTTTTTTATTTATCGTGGGATAACCGTTTTTCGAAAAAATTAAAAAATTAAAAAAGCTAATCCATGAATTAAGTTTTAATTAATGTCGATCGATAAGGGTCAACAATACCTACATTTGAAAAAAGATTCAATTCCAGCCATTCATTAGCGAACAATTGAAGAAAAACTTTACCACACACATACGTGCGGACACAGTCTAAAAATTGCATTTTTGACACAAAAAATCCAAAACTTGAATTTAAACAATTACAATGCTTTCATTCCAAAGCAAAATGAGTCACTCTCAAAGCTGCCCCATTGATACATCTAATTGCTCGCAATTCCGCTGTAACGAGACAGTCGAGTACTTTTCCTAGTTAAAAATTGCAAATAAAGATTCAAGCTGACCTAGCCAGAGTCCTCATAGTTAGGTATTTAGTCTGTGCTGAAAACAGATCTCAAAGTTTAAGTTCAAACCTCGGGGTTATCATGACCAGGGTGAGAGTCAACACATCATTCACACTGGAATCACGCGCTCTAACAACGTATTCTCTACATTCCCATTATTCGATTGGTCAGTACTCGGGACACTCTACTCCAATTCGTCATTTATATTTCTCTTTACAATAAAATGCTGATAAAAGAGACGTATAAATACTTCATCTGCAGTGGTGGAGCTCCTCAAAGTAATTATTTCAGTAGTTGTGTTTGTCATTTACTCCAATAATATCCACATCTTCCTAATTGACTACTTTTTTAAATGAGCTTGTAAAAAGTCGGTGTAGACGGAAGGTGAAAATATGCATCAACATTTCATTACATCATAAAATGTGACAAGAAAAATCATATCTAACAAAGTTTTTTCTTCGATTTCATATAACAAATTTGCGTCAGGATCTGTATCAACATTTATTTATTTTTTTTCTTCAGGAGCGTTCCATCCTTCCCAAATATTACAGTCGAGTGTCATCCTTGACAAGGTCATCGACAACAAGTTCTACTCTAACAGAGGATTGTGCATCGAACGCCACGCTCGTAACAAATGCAAGTCCGTTCAACAGTCAACAAGCTTTAATTACGGATAAGAACCGGAACAAGAACAATAGCAATTCCCATAGTCATTACTATGCCGAAAATTTGAGACATGAGAACCAAATTAAAAATTCACGAATTTACAATCCTTTGAACGAGGATCTCAAGGAGTACACACAGTTGGAGCCTTTGGTAGCTAAAGATCGACTGGGGATTGACAACGCCAAAATAGTCATGGGTTCTCAGATTCAGTTGGAGGAGAAAGACAATGGTCCTTCCAATCCTCCTCGTCCGACAACAATTCGTGCCCAAAAGACATCAATCCTTACTCAAGTAAGTGTTATGAAATTGTTATCATCAGTGCGAATGGAGGTGTAACATGACATGTATTCTGGCTTAAAATCCTTGATTCATTTTGGTGCACTGATAGAAAGGATTAGTTATTGTTAACGAATGGGGGTCATGTCTAAAAAACTTCCTCATAAAAACTTGGTCAATAAAATTTGATCAAAACAACTTGGTAACAAGAAAACTTGAAGGGAAAACAATTCGAACAAGCTGTACGTCAAAAAACTTTCAAACTTTTAACGTATAAAGAAAATTGCGAAAAAAAATTGAAAATATTCCACACACATTCATACATATAGACACCTTCTAAAAATCGCATATTCGAACTTTTTCGACCATATTTAGTTACCCTGACACAAAAATTTGGAAACTTAAATTTAAACGATGACAAAGCTTCCATTCAGAGGCAAAAATGAAAAAAAAACGAACGAACCACAGTGCAAAACATCGTAACCAGAATGAACAGCATCAAGTCTTGATTACAAATGATTTGACACAAATTCACATGCACAAGGAAATAAATAACACAATTATTCATATCCATAATGCAACACTTAAAGCACAACATTCGACGCAATCCCTCTCAAATATTGCAGAGTACCTATATTCTTATAAAATACAAGATAACCGAAAGGTTCTATTGACGGATGTTCAATTTGACAAAAGTTCACTTGACCAAAAGTTCACTTTCTGAAATTGAATTTAACCAGGTTTTTTTGTCGAAGTTTTTTTGACGTGCTCCGAACGAATGGATTTGGTTGGAGACGAGGGTCTATTCAGTCTCACCAATTGTTCATTTGTTAATAGTCAACAAATGCACATTTGAAGAGCCTCGTTTGACTTGAGTTTCACCATTCAAGTGAACCATTCGTTAACTATTAACGAATATTCATTTAATCATATTCAACTCTACCATTCGTTAATAGTTAACGAATCTCGTTTGAAATAAATGAATCTGTCTATCAGTGTGCATTAAAGAAACGTGCTTTTGTCGTGAAACTATCTACGCAAACTATGACCTTCACCTGACCTCCTTTTCTCTTCAACATTTGTACCGCACATCGTGTGAACTGGCGATCAATTCGATGACCCCGACGTAGTCTCCTAGTCTTCAGATTGAACGTTACATTTTTCTTATCTTCTTGTCCCCACTTATAGCGCACAATTGATAAAAAATGAAGCTCAACGTTTTGTCCAAAACAGTTGCCACATTAAAAATGTATTCATTTTATTATGTGGTAACCGTGTACATAGAATAGATGCACTGACTTTCCGGATAGATATTTAATCATGGATTACATTAGTGTGTACTTTGAGACTAGATATTTTTACGATTGATTATCGGAGAGCCATATTCCTATTCTAACTCACACATTTAATATTGGAAATATGGATACGAGATAGACCTGGTATTAGTGTAAATGATACAGTATCAAGATAAACTCATGCGTGTGCAGAAATCTTGATAGAGACGACTTTTCTTCAAAACTTCATCAACAGTTCTGTCATAAACTATCAATCAAATCTGTGGAATATAATCTCTCTATATTATAAAAATCCAAATCGACTTTTGGTAATGAAAATTTGGTACTCGAAATTAAGGGTCACCAGGGTCAAAATAAGGGTCACGAGGGTTATAATGAGAGTCAGATTAAGGATCCAAATGAGGGTTGCAAGGGTCAGATTAAGGATCACAAAGGTCAGATTAAGGGTCCAAATAAGGGTTATGGGGGTCAAAATAAGGGTCTCAATATCTCTCTATATTGTAAAAATCTTAATCGACTTTTAGTGATGAAAATTTGGTGCTCGAAATGAAGACTCCAAAATGAAGGGTCAAAATAAGAGTTACGAGGGGTATAGTGAGGGTCATGAGGGTCAGATTAAGGGTCACAATGGTCAGAATAGGGATCATGGGGGTTAGTGAGCAGGGACCTAGCCCTCTACTAAGGAAATAATTTCTAAGATGATAGAATGATTTAGTTGCTGTTAACAAGGCTTCTTAACTATGAAAGCCGTTTGTCGATAATTAACGAACGTTAATAATTGAGAAGTCTCGTTTAGAGCAACTAAATCATATCATCTTTTCTATCAGTGTACGAGCTTTTCATCAGTTGTAATTAGTGATAGCAATTCTGTTATCAGAACACATGTCTGTTCAGTCCTGTTAATTACAACAGACATTGGGAAATTCGCAATAAATGTTTTCAACTGATATACATCGCTAAGTATATAATTCATGTGAGGTTTTCCAAGTTAAGGAAAACGTGAATATATAGTGACGGAAGCACAATGGATTTTAACAAACTCACGATACTTGCAGTGGTCATAATATTTATCTAAATTTAGCATTCGTTTTGTCTGTCATAAGAATTTTACAAATGAAAATGTCAAAACGCTAGGCAACAAATTTCATTCTGTTTCGTAATCGCATCGGACGGGAAATGGAAATTGACGCCGGTTTCAAATTGAAAATCATTGCCTTCAGAGAACAAACACACATAGAGAGAAATTTTAAGAGGTTGCACATGAATTCATTTCGTATTGATATGAAATTTTTAGTCGAAAAGCTAATTTTATACAATTTTGGAACATAAGGGGTATCCATTGGATTATTCCCCCATCTGAATTTCGACCGATACACTTGCAGTATTTGACGTTCTTGAGGATTGAAGCCATATTCATATCAGAACTTCATTTATTCTAACCGAAAATTTTCATTCAAGTTGACCATGCGAGTAAATGGAAATAACCAAAAATTATCAAAATAATTTTACCCCCACTCCTACGCAAACCATAAAATACAGCATTTCCATTGGTTGACATTCAGACGGAGGAATAATTACAGAAATACCCAGAAATATTACCAGTAATCCCCATAAATTTTACCTGAACCAACCAGAAATTTTACTTCTACAGAACTAGAATTATTAATAACCGGTTGATTGTAATTTTGCCGGTACTAATACTAGATTATTTCTAAAGAATTTCTCTCCGTACAAAAAAGAAATTCTAGATGTTCGGAAAAAAAAATATTTGAAGGGAATCTTGGTGCTTACTTTTACCCTATCCAGACCTTTCGAATGGTTCAATGTTTCATTGTTCCATTAAATCTTGAATCAAGAACATTTCAGTGCGAAAGACAATTTTTGCTTATTTGTGGCCCCGTCCAAAGAATCCCCAAGTTCTCAGGGCAATTTTACGATCTTCTCTTTAAATTTTCAACTTTTAAAGATTTTTATCAATGTCAATGATGCAACAAGGCAGCAGAGTATGCATTGTTAACTTACGGCTCTTTTACATGGTTTCAAACCCTCGGGATTTTACTCATAACGAGATCATCCGCGCGTGCTGCGCATGCGTCTCCTTATCTCCCCACGTAGTGGCGCTTCGGTTTCAGTCTTACGCTTACGCTCATCATTCGAGATTTTCGGGACATTTCGAAATCGATTGCCATTCTCCCTTTTACGATAGGACGAGATAGGCCGCGCGTGCTGCGCACGCGCCTTCTCATCTCCTCACGTAGTGGCGCTTCGGTTTCAGTCTTACGCTTACGCTTATTCGAGATTTTCGAGATATTTCGAGATCGATTTCCTTTCTCCTTTTTAGGATAGGAAAAAATAGGATCGAGATTTTCGAGATATTTCGAGATTGATTTCCTTTCTCCTTTTTACGATACGATAGGAGGATAAAAGGAATGTACCTTCAAAGGTATGAATTCGCCGAAAACAGGGTTTTGTGGTAGGAATAGCTATGATAGAGCGAAAAGAAAGTGAAAACCCCTAATTGGTCTTCTTTAGATTCCGTAATATCTTTTTGAATATTGTGAAATTGATGTAGCTTTCATTAGCTGTCCACAACTAAATTTGAAAAACAATATGTTTTTAATGGAAGAACGAGAATTTTCGAGATGAAGAAAAATTCTGTCTAATTCAAACAAAGTTACCTCAAATTCACTACTGAAATTACCGAATTCTTGGGATGATTTCTGTCGATTTTAGTGAAAAAATATCCTTCAAGTAAATTGAAAAAAATATTTTCGTACTTCTTCGTTGAATGAATTTTCACTCTGAATACTGAAATTCACAAATTTCCTTAATAACTTACAACTTTTTTTCCATGTGCAAAGAAAAAATTAATAAAAACTAGAGGAGTATGCAAAATGATGCACAAAATATGTTGAAGGCGAGAGAAATTGAATACCGGGACAAATGACAGAGATATCTTCACGCCTCGCACTCATATAATTCCATGAACGAACGTGTGTTCATTACAAATTGTTTTTTTCATGATATTAAATCGAATTACTAGTTTGAAATTATGGAAGAAATGACTCATATATTGTCCTCCACAAGTAAAGAAGAAACGAAGCCATGACATACATCTTCGAGAATGGGGAAGATACATTTGATACGATTACACGGAAATATTCAGTAAAAATTACGGAACACTACACGTAATCCATAATGGGGAATCGTTTTCCGGCAATTTTTATAGGAATGGAAGAGAAGAAATCTGAAATGTTCAGTGAACTCCCAGGTTCATCACTGAACAAACTACAAAATTGTCACGTAATTTTTCCCGAAGGCGTAAAATCTTACAGAAGCTTCCTGACTTATTACGCCTCCAAAATCAAAAATTCTTGAACGTTCAACAATTTTCATGAAGTTGGTGAGCTATTTCTACGTTCCGTTCCGTAAAATTTCTCAATTGTTGGGGAAAAATCACGGAACGACTTGTTGTCCCCACAGCGGTGAGACATCAGACGGAAGGTTAATTTTTACGGAACAATTCGTGCAATTCCAGTTCCGACTCTCACTTTTTATTGAATTTTACTTCGCTCGCGGATTACATTTCAAAACGTAATTTTGACTTTTTTTTCTGGTAATTTTTATTGAATTGTTCTCTCCGTGTACCTGCTGAGACCACATCACGGTTCTATCATCTTCTAATTTGCCTGTGACATTATACTTCAAAAAGAAGATGTATCGAATGTGCAAAGCACCTGGGAATCGCTGGACACATGTTTGGAATTAATTAATATTACTGTTATCATTATCCACGCATAATACCAAGATCGTCACGCGAAGAGATGCAATTATTAGATATACGGGCAAGGACATGAGGTGACAAAGTATTGCACCGGATACAATAACTATTCAATTTCACAATAAAACTGAATCAAATGCTCTCCTCGAAACTTACGCTATGAATACAAAATATATTCATTTATCCATTTACGTTAACCGTTTTATCAACTTTTTTAGTCTATAATGTAGTCTCGCGTAATATTAACATAAACAACACGTATTTGCCAGCTGTCCTCGGTTTTCTAAGACCTTAAAAATTTACTCCTTGAACTTCTTTCGATGTTGAGACTTTTATATTCAATTAAATTAGTTTATCAACTTCCGGGAAAATTAATTCTCATTCCGTTTGAAGATTGGAGCGTAATGGAGGTGAAGATTTAAGTAATTGATCCACAAAAATCGATCGGAACATAAATTATGGCCTCTCATCATGGTATATTTATGGGTGTGGAAAAAATTCTACTTTGCTGCGTACGTAGGTGGACTGAGGTCTATGAAAGAGCCTGCGCGAGTTATCCAGTGATTCGCCCCGAAGCGGTTGAAGGTCAAAGTTGCTACTCGAACCCCAGTCGGTATTCTGCTCTCAACAAGTTCGGAACATGCTTATTTTCCTAAATACTAAACACAACAATTCTGAAATTACTATCTACATAATTTAAACGAAAAGACGAAAAGAAGACGAATGTCAAGCACTATAGGCTTCGTTACATTCAAATTACGTGATCTACATGCCAAACTATTGTACACTTTGGAGTATAAATTTACAGCCATTGCTAAAGTGTCATAAGGAAGAATAAGGAAAACAATAAGGCGATGAAGAAGGGAGTAGGGATGTGAAAAGTGGGGACTCAATTGCCCCCCTTGAAGACTTGTCCTCTGTCATATATAAACCACAGGAACAAGTGTCGATAACTCATATTATTCAGTGACTAACACCAAAAAACTTCTACATTTATTACTTGCGGATTATATTAATTAAAAGGTGTACGTCAAAAAACAGTTCGTGCTCACATTACTCGAGTGTTAGTCAAATTATCATTTTAATTCAGAGGGGGAGAAATCTCTTATCAAGTTTATTTGAGGTGAAAAAATCACGTATTTGTGCAAGTTGAAGAGAAAAGGAATTCCTTCGTAAACCATAAAAGTTTAGAGCTTCTTTCGGTTCACATCAGTTTCAATTTTAATCCTCCAAAATGAAAATTCTTATGCGAGCTGATACCCATGTGAACATTGAAGTTCTCGGTAATGCTCCTGTTGCTAAATGCACATTTAGTCAGGTATATTCTTTTGCTAATATGCAGGTCCATACTCTGGATTCTCCATAAACCTTTCTAAATTGATTGGAATTTTTAATTGCAGGTGCTTGCTGCACTCACAGTCTCCTTAGGATCCATGGTCGTAGGATTCTCGTGCTCTTATACATCACCAGCTTTGCCGTCTATGAATGCCACAGCTCCATTTGAATTCGATGAACAAATCGTAAGTATTATTTTTTCATTTATTCGAATCCTTTGCATTTGCGTATTAAATGTCGATTAAATGTGGTCTTCGGAACAGGGGCAAATAAATTATGAGGGTCAATCAACCTATCAACAAATTTAACCCTAATCTACGTCACTGGTTTTCTAAACTTCATAGATCTTACGTCTTCTGGATCTCGTGGTCAGGGGCACATCTCATTTCTTTATTGATGAGCTGATTTTATTGGCCATTTCAGTGACAAGCGACCACGCCTCCTAGCCTACATTATTTACCTTTTTTTATTGTCAAAATAAATCATAGAAGCATGAATTGAAACGACTTGCAGACAGGCAAAGACACTTCAAGGAGTGTTTTGTCACTGCCCTCTTTTGCACGTCTGATTTCAAACTATTTTCTCTTTGGTGAATCTTTGCTTCTTCGCAAGAAAGTCAATCATACATAGTAAAAAATTCAAAGCGAATTTCGACTCTGAGTCCACATCAAAAGGAGTGAAAACAAGTCCAAATCGTTTTTCGGTGTAGATGCGCAGAGTATATTGATTCCGGAGTTAAGTGATGAATTAAGGATATCCAAGTGTCTTCTACATTCTGGTACAGACCACACTATAGATTCAACCATTTTCAATCATCAAATTTGTTAATTAAATTACGTGAGAAAAATTTGAAAAAAATCATGAATATTCAACGTCATTCAAATTACATTTTGCACGGAATTATTAGTTTTTTAAACATTCGTTATTTATGAACAAATAATTAAACTTGTTTAAACTTTCAGAAATTTTATTTTTTTAAGAATGAAAGTGCTTTCTGGTAAAATTTTGAATATGAATAAATTTGTTACGATTCCAAACTAATGATCATGATAGTGGAAAATTCATTGTTTATAAATTATTTATAGAAAATGCTNCTTTCCCTTGTTGCTCTCCATCTCGTCCATGGTTTCTTGACTCCCTTTTATTTCCCCGTTGTAGTAAGTCAAAAATTTTCTACCTCCAGCAACCTCCCACCGTGTCCTAATCTTTATACACTCACCACAATCGCGAAAATTCGGACCCAAAAAAACACCACACGTGTGTTGCCCCAATCCGCCATCTTCCTTCGCCCTAGAAAATGCTTGTAATTTGCAAAAAAATTTACAATTTTTTAATTATTTCATGAATCTTCGTCCAAAAGTAAACTTTTTCTCATTTTTTTTCAGATTATTAAAATGTTTTCTAATGGTTCAATATCGAGATTCAAATTCAGACCTGCAAAGTTTAAATAATAAAGTAATTATAAAATGTCCGGAAACTTAAGGTAAAACTAACCCTGCCGACTACAAAAGTAGAAAAGCATTTCACTGAAGAAAAAATTGTCAAAGTACTGGCATATCCTTAAATGAAAACGCACATCGTCATGGTGTCAACATGGACATGGTAATCAACAGTTTGGTGTAAAAAATAAAAATCCACTCCGTACCAAAATTTGACTCAGGGCTGAGGGTAAATTCAACTTCGAAAAAGATTTTAATACCGAAATATTTAACCCCTCTCACTGTAGACATTGAAACCGATTTTTTTGACTGTGTAATTGGATATTTTTAATTCATGATAATTTTTTTTCTGTTCCGACAGAGCTCCTGGATCGGATCCGTGCTGCCACTCGCTGCCCTTTTCGGTGGCATCGTAGGCGGTCCGTTAATTGAATATCTCGGAAGACGAAATACCATTCTTGCAACAGCTTTTCCATTCATCGGAGGTGAGTGACTGACTTTTACAAAATTACGGAAATATCGGCGAATGTGACCGAGTCAACATGATCTCAATCCATGTCATTTAATAATTTTTTAGCATACCTTTTGATTGCAATGGCAAACACCTACTGGCTGGTATTAGCTGGACGTGCTCTGTGTGGTCTATGCGTGGGTATTGCCTCCCTATCGTTGCCAGTGTACCTCGGTGAAACAATTCAGCCTGAAGTTCGCGGAACTCTTGGTCTCCTACCAACAGCCTTTGGTAACATCGGAATACTAATTTGTTTCGTCGCAGGAAGATACCTTGACTGGTCTTATCTTGCCTTCCTTGGCGCTTGTCTGCCAGTGCCGTACCTCTTGCTCATGTTCCTTATTCCCGAAACTCCAAGGTGGTACATTTCCAAGGGCAGGACGAAGCGTGCACGCAAATCACTCGAGTGGCTCCGTGGAAAGAATGCCGATGTTACCGAAGAGCTCGGTGGAGTTGAGAAGACACACGTGGAAAGTGAAAGAAATTCAGGACATAGCGCACTTGAGGTTCTACTGCAGCCAAAAAATATGAAACCACTGGCAATTTCACTGGGTCTCATGTTCTTCCAACAACTTTCCGGAATCAATGCTGTTATTTTTTACACCGTGGAAATTTTCAAGGTTTGTATTGAATTACACGATCTGCAGTTAACTCACACAACAGGACATGACTTTTATGTCCAATAATTAATTTACGCGAAAATACGTCATTATTATTGAATGCCAGATGTGGATGTTTGTTTGGATGAAGAACCGGACATTTTTTTCATTAACATGTTAATATGGGAATTGCAATGCTCATTCTTTCATGCCATTTCAATTATTCCAACAATAACAGGGGACTTATGAGTGGAAAAGTTGCGTAAAAGCTATCAGAAAAATAACTTGAAAATTGCACTCGAAAACATAATCGTGCACAGAAAGAATATTAAAGTATTTTTTACAATGGGAACATAGTAATTTTTACTATGCTCGCCGAACATTAAAATTTACTGTTTAACATAGGAATTTTAAGGACAAATGAAAAATTACAACGCGCCGGATGAAAAAATACTAATGACGGAATTAGAATATGATGGAGTCCATAAGAAAAATTACTGTTGAACATAGTAAAAACTGCGAGGCGATATAGTAGAATGTGATAGCTCAGAAGGTGAAATTTCATTTCTCACTAGTAAAATTTAGGAAAATAAACATGATTTTTTACTTTTTTGATAAAAAAAAATCCCCCTTCCCCTCTTCCAACACGAATATTCATGGAAGAGAAGGGAGAGCTTTTTTTTTCAAGCGACACACAGAGAAAAAAATTTGATTAACTTTAGATAAAAGTTGCTAGATGTTAGAAACCTCATGATAATTGCCTACGAAAACGGGAGGATTTTCATTTCTTTCCTGACGTTTATGTGGGGCACTCACTCACTCATTCACCACCCGCCCGATTGTGTTGTCAACAGAGGAAGGGGATTCCAATAAATTTAAACGATCGATGATCTAAATGCCCGCTACAGTTTTTACTAGTCAACATAGTAATTTCTGCTGTTTTGTAGAGTGAAATGTAAGAGGCGCGAGAGTATAAATCAAAATTTTAAAACGTAAAAAATTACGTTGTAACATAGTAAAAATTCATACGATTTGAGTAATTTTTCGTTGATTCAATAGTTCCTTTAAAGAAAAGCGTTTAAGACGCTCGTAAATATCATTTGTTCGTCCGCGTATCTTATACTGTTTCTTCTATTCAAAATTACTATATTAAATAGTAAAAACGAAATTTTACATCTCAAAAATTCAGTTAAAATAGATTACTATGTTCACATAGTAATTTTTCATTTTATATTCTTTCCATGCGGAGCAAAATGTATTGCTGATCATGATTGTACCGAAGCTCCTGTTGTAAAACGCTAAAATTATTTTCTGCGTCACATTTTTCCTTCATCTTACACGAATTTCCGTTTTGTGCAAGAGTCAAATCACCTCAGTTATTAAATGATTGCCACAGTTATCTGTGAAATTTGATAGGTAGGTCTTTACATGAAAAGTAAGACGGATGAGTGACGCAGGTGGCTGCTTCTCATTTGAGTACTTAATTCCCGGTTTCAAGATGTTATGCTTGATTTTCTGTGCTACGCATTGCGAGATGATTCAGTTCTAATTCCTCAAATTTTTTTTTTATCGTTATTTTACATCGCTTCGACCCGGTTAGGGTATACTACGATGATGATCAAGCCTTTAAATGATTAGATCGCATTATTCTACCCGGTCGAGATTTGAACTCGGAACCTTTCGCATGTGAAGCAACGAACTCACCCACTGCGCCAAGCCACCGGGCTAATTCCTCAAATTTAATATCAACTTTTATGGGAAAATTGCTTTAATCTTCTACTTCAAATTTCTCTTAAAAGGATAATGAGGGATCGAAATCGTTGGTTCCGTCGAAATGGGGATTTTCCCTCATACTTCTAATTTTATCATTAGTCATAGAAAACATAAGCGCGAACCAAGACGGTGTTTTCAACTATTCGTCCTGTTTTTTTGTTACAGAGCGCTGGGAGTTCAATTGAAAGCAACCTAAGCACTATCATCGTAGGAATTGTCAACTTTGCATCTACTTTCGTGGCAACTGCTTTAATCGACAGATTGGGCCGAAAAATCCTACTTTATATCAGCAGCGCTGCTATGATCGTGACACTAGCAACTCTCGGTTTCTTCTTCTATTTCAAAGAACACAACTACGAAGGCGTATCGGCTGTAGGATGGCTACCACTCGTTAGTTTCGTTATTTACGTCATCGGATTTTCCCTCGGTTTCGGCCCAGTGCCCTGGCTGATGATGGGTGAAATTTTGCCGGCCAAAATTCGCGGACCCGCAGCCAGTATTGCCACCGGTTTCAACTGGTCTTGTACGTTCATTGTAACAAAAACATTCAAGGATATTATCGGAATTATTGGAGCCAGTGGAACGTTCTTCACATTCGCTATCATTTGCGTTGCTGGACTGGTATTTGTTATAATCCTTGTGCCAGAAACGAGGGGTCGATCGCTAGAGGAAATTGAGAGGCGATTGACTGGACCAGTAAGAAGAATGAGTGCAATTGCAAATATGAAACCTGTACCGACTGGTTGCTAGTTTCAAAGATGATTCTCATTGATTTAATGCTGCGTTGTCGATACAATTTGGATCTAAAAATGATTCCGAATGGCAGGATGCCATTCCAGAGACAAGCTCTCTTACTCCATTATTTTCATGTTTGTTTTTCTCTTGTCGTGCTTGTCTGCAATGAAGTAATGTGATCTAGTTCACAGCAATATTTTTCCAAACAAAATGTAGAGATATAACAGTCTATAAGTAGATAGATAAGTGCAGTGAGAGCTGAAGGTGGATATAGTTTGCTCAAATAGCAAATGGTGCTGAACATTGAGGGTGCTTGAACTTGACCAAAATATTCCATGATTCTCATGTTTTATGACTAACAGATTGATACTGTTGTCAACTGTTAGCACTTGCTCTCGTAGAGAATATAGTCCGTAATGGAGTGGAATGAAAGGATTTAATTTATGATGAATTTTATCTTGGGAAGTCCTCAGGAGTCTACCTCATGGCAATGATATGTATATAACAAATTTCACAAGTGGAGCGTAGTGCAAGTGCAGATGTAGTGTGATGAAATTATTTTTAGAGAATATTTAATTTTTATGAACTCTAGCCAAATGATTGTATATATTGTAAGAAAGGCTTGAAAAATGAAGGTATTTGTTGAATTGTAGATAGTTGAATGTAAATAAGTGATTATAGTTAACAGTGTTTCTTAGGGCCGGTTGTACCAGCTTCAATTACGTAATTCCTCAATTGAAAATAAGCTAAACGATTCTGTTTACGCAATGATAAATTTACATCGAGGGTTTGAAACACCTGGTGGAGCCGCCCCTTAGCGAATTCGAACAATTATTTCAATTTTAGAAGTTGAAGAACTATGTGCCTTACGATTTTTAAATGCTGAATAGCGTCGTAATCTTAAAAGAGAGAGAGAGAGCTTTTAATATTGTATTGTATCGGTAGAAGCAATGATTCAGAATAAGGAGATTTATTCTATCAATGGAGACCCAAAGTGTATTGAGATTTATTTACCAAGACCTGTAGTGTACTTAGGTATCGTGCCAGTGAACAAAATTTTATAGTTTTGGCCGATCAAATGAAAAGTCTGCAGGACCTTAGAGATTCCAATGTCATTGACTGAGATTGTTTATCAATAAAATGTAGAGGCGGATGATTAATGAGTCTGGGCTTTCATTTTTATACCATCTTAAAACTAGAGATGCAAATGCGTCACATGACGGTCATATAACGGACAGTTGTCACAATTCTCCCCCCCCCCTTGGCCGACGTAATTTGAAATGAAAATCACGGTAATTTTTCATCTATATAGGGGTGCTATCGCCAATTATTGGTATGGTTTTGTACCTTCAACAATTTTGTTGAGGCTTCTTATATGGCTTTCTTATCATTCGCAAGATCTATGCGCCCGCTCTCGCGCGCGCTGATCTATTCATTTGTTGAAATGAAGAAATGGAATTCATTGAATTTCATTTTCTCATGAATACCTTATAAATATTGATAATGAATCAAAGAGAATTCGACTAATGATTGAAGTGAATAGCAAAGTAGAGTAAAAGAATCTATAAATAATTTTCCATTTTCAATTGTCTTCAATTTTTTAAAATAATCGGTCTCCGTAAAAGGACAGAATTTATTAATTTCACCGATGATATATATACATATTTCACATGTATATATATTATCGGTGAAATTAATAAATTCTGTACTTTTATGGAGACCGATTACTTAAAAAAATTGAAGATAATTAATTGGAAATGAAAAATTCTTTATAGATTCTTTTACTCTACTTCGCTATTCACTTCAATCATTCGTTGAATTCTCTTTGATCCATTATCAATATTTATAAAGTATTCATGAGAAAATGAAATTTAATGAATTCCATTTCTTCATTTCAACAAATGAATAGATCAGCGCGTGCATAGATCTTGTAAGGTAAATAGGTCAATTTCTAGACGGGGATAGTTTCTGGGCGATTTCAACTCGCATTGAATATTCCATAAATAAAATGAAAATCGTACTGATTATTTCACCTTTCAATAATATTACTCAGGTATAATCATGTGATCAATTAGTTTTTCTATTGATCGACATTTAATAAATAAAAAATAAAAATATGGCCCAGTCGTCCAGAAATTAGGACTTTCGGCTGCATGCAACTATTTCTTAATTTAATTATTCTTTGTTTTGCCATTTTCACTTCAAATCATTTTTTCTGCTAATTAAAACATTTTTGAACGTATGAAAGCCATCATATCCCATTTAGGTGATGCTTTCATTTTAGACTCTAGCACGAACTTCCCTTAACCGTCCAGCAATTGGTCAGTTCACCCTATATTCCATGAAAAACAAAGTTAAAAGAATTTTTTTTAATGCAGATTCTGCCTCATTTGCCCCTCCTCTAGCAGTCGAGCACTTAAGGTCCGGGTGGATTATCTTTCGAACGTGATCGTGTTTGTTTTTTTCATTGTGATAATCTGAGATGATCTCCAATTGCTATTCAGTTTTACATAGCCCTGGAGTTTCAACCAAAAAAAAACGTTGAAAAAAAGCTGAACATTTTCAAAGAGCGTTTTTGAATAATATTGGAAAATAAATCCAATAAAGAGGAAATTGCAAATTAATAATTTGATGTATCTAATGGCTGTTAGGTCGTCCTTTGTCACAGTAGTCAATGCCATGATAAATTATCCATTCCCTATTTCCTCTCTATCGGACTTATTTCTTAATCTTTACTGTAAAGAGAATATCCACATATTAATATTGGGACTGGATAATCGTAGCCAGGGACGAAATTAGCTTTATCCGGAGAGATGCATGCGTACTATAGCGTGAACATGCTCTCAGCAATCGATCCGTTGGCGACGCAGATCTCGACGTAGTCTAAAGTTTAGACTCTAAACAAATGACGAACCTGGGTCTGGGGTTCCCACGATGAACGGGAGCGTCGATAGTCTGCCATGGGCCGTGGGCAAGAGCACTCAACCGACTGAGATATAATTATTCAAATACTATATTGTTTGCATTTTTAATGACGACTCTGTAAAGAAGGCGATCCTACAATATATGGACAAATATCTACTCTTTTGAAAAGTTATTTGGGAAGTGAATTTATTGAGTTTATACCCTTTCATTAAAATACTTCCTACATTATTAAAAACGCTCTTTGAAAATATATATTTTTTTTCTACTTTGTTTGATTGTACAATCATAATTTTTAGGGACTCCTGCGTGATGTGAATCCAATGGAAATTGTCATATATTTTACATTATGAAGATGGAAAAACATTAACGTAACATTCCCAAATAAACGAGTTCTTTGATAAAGCGAAGAAGGAAAGCCTCCCAAGGCCGGATACACTCCCCCAAATTCATGAATATTCACTTGAATTTTTTGCCACTTGGCAGAACGCTATGTAGACCCGATATTAATTATAAGTGATTATAGTCAAATGATAATTTATATTCTTCCGAATATTCTGTTGTCTCGTGAGAGTGACTTCATGTCAAATGAATGATTTTTAGAGGTTAAAAATCGACTTACCCATAACTTGAACTCTGCATATCGCACAGGTATCACATTCCACATCCCAACTCCACATCGCGACTGCATTCCATTTTTTCAGAGTAAACAATTTATCGGATTTATTAGCATCACCGTCACTCCGATCTGCTGCTTCTTGGTCAGCGTCACCCATTTCTACAGGTTATGTTGCTTTATTGTTTTGTGAAAGAAAACAAACTGCAACACTTGCAATACCCACCTCACATGTAATGACGTCACACAGCCAGCCACCTATAGGCGAATTATTGCCACTCTACTTATTACGAATGAAAACAACAGATCGTTTTGATTGAACAACAAAACAGTTATCGAGTAAATGATCTTATTGATTGGATTAGGCAGTACATTATTGACATCTCTCCAATAGTCAGTAAGTCAGGGCATCATTCAGCCACTGTCTCCTTTCCACATTGCATAATTTTACGATAAAATCTCGGACAAGATTTCTAACATACACACAGTCGAAGTCAGCACATCAGAACATAATACTATTGGTGAGAATATAATTAGGGAGGTGGGGCAATATGGACACCAGATTTAAATAATGAGCTGAATTGGATCCAATCTACTGGTCCGACTTCATTTGAAGTTGATACAAACGAATACATTGTCATAAAGTGCGTCGTAGGAGTTGTAAGGTAATGCAAAAACGGGGTAAAATGAACACTTCGATTTCCTCCTCATTTTTTATGTTTTAACAATGTTATTCAATTTCTGAAATTACACTGTGAAAACAAGTGTTTTTTGAGAAATACTTCTTTGTATCAAGAAATTCGTGACTTGAAAATTATCAAGCGCACAATATCGCACATTAAGAAAAAAAATCTTACGCCAAGAAATTTTATACTTGTTCGAAAGATGAGGACAATTTCTTTATGTCAAGAAAACGAGTTCTCAAATCAATTAAAGTGGTTTTTGCTTAAAATATTTTAGAATGGAGGCTAAAAAACTGTTGAATGAATTAATGCAATTTTACTTGGTTTGGGAAATTGCTTTTTTGTCATCAAGAAATTGTCCTCGTCTTTAGGACAAGTACAAAATTACTTGACGAAATTTTTTATTTTCTTAGTGCAAGACATTTTACTCCTGAAAATTTTCAAGTCAGAAGTTTCTTGATATGAGTAAAGACGTATTTCTCAAAAACCTTTGTTTTTGTCAGTGATAGTCATGACTGCGATTTTCAACTTGAAAAAGAAGTCATTTTTTACTTTTGTCGGGGGGGGGGGGGG